TATGTCAGGGGAAAAATCTGTGTTTATGAAATATGCTATCTATCTATCTCTCTCATAGATAGATGTCTAGATAGAAAAATCTAACACCTAAAACTTTTGATGTATCTTGGATTAGAATTTAAAAATCCTCTTTATGATCTAAGAAAAAAAAACAAAAATAAACAGATAACTATAAATTAGTGATATTCTGCAGGAGCAGGAATGGGAAAGGGATCAAAGGGAAGGCAGAAAGAACACAAGAGACTATGGAGAGGGTGCACGGGTGAACTGGTGGTGGGAATTCTCTGGAGGCCACACCTGAGAAAAGAAAGCAAACACTGTACAACAATGAACAATGATGCAAAATATAAACAAACAAACAAATAATTAAAAATCCTTTGAATATGGAGGGCATGTTAGTCACCATTAAAATGTGAAAGACTGGGTGTATAAGGACTGGGTTGGGTCTGTATAACCCTAGAGTAGCATCCTTGAGTAGAAGGAATATAGGGGATAAATTTTAGGGTGAAAGGGGAGAAAACTAGAAGCAGTGATGAGCTTCTAGTTACCTAATATACTTAAACACGAGATGACCAGTTCTTAGTAGATAATGAGAGGTGAACTGAAATTGGTAATTTAAAACTTTATTTTATCAGAACTATTTAATGCACTGGTGGAAAAACCTTACCCAGAAGATTGATACACATACACACACAAAAAAAAAAAAAAAAAAAAAAAGAGAGAGAGAGAGAAAAAAACTTCCCTAGTTTAAATTCTCTACCATATCATACTGAGATCATCTGATATTAGACCAAATGATATGTAAAGTGGTTCATTTTTTATTTTAGACTGCCTAGGTGAATGATCTCCCAAATGGAATGGTGGCTGTAGAGAAAGATCAGAGTATAGACACACACACACACATAATTACATCTTATGGCTTGAGAGTAATACATGTAATATTCAAAAGTTTATTACATTAGTCAGCAATGATGAACTAGTGAGAAAGATAAATATTGAATGATTTCACTTATATGTAAAATATAAGAAAACAATGTGAATGAATGGAGAAAACAAATTACTGAATATGAGGATGGGGGCTGTTAATGGGAGTAAAGGTTAAGGGGATATAATGGATGGTGGAGGGTGTTTGTTTTTTTTTTCCTTAAAAAAAGCAAAAGCTTTTGAGGGAAAAAGCTCTCATTAGACATCCTAATACTTTTTAACAAGTCTTTATTAATAGTCATTTGCAGTCACTATTTTAACCTCCAAGAAAATAACATAAGGAAAGAGCAGTTGAAACACTTACAAAATTATTAGTCCTTGGTATTAATTCCCTCAAACCTGATAGTTTGGGTAAGAAAAGACCTATTTTCTTTGCGTTTCCAGTAGCAACAATATGGAAAATAACAGTCTCATGCTTTACTGACTGAGCTATCCATATTATTATAAGGATAATAATAAAGATGACTGTTCACAATGCATTTAAAGTTTAGCCATGACAAACTGACTAAAATCCAAAGGTACAAGACTCTGATAATGGTTGATGACATATTCGTTAATCAGCCTCATTATTCTGCTTTTATCCCATCTACTTCAGTTAGATTTAACTTTGCTTCTAGAGTAACACAGATGTTGGAAAACTCCATTCTTCTTTAAGCCAGCTATAAACAACATAAAAAACTTCAAAGTCATCTAGGTGCCTCTGAGTTTGATAATCTTATTTATAACACAAAGCTGTTTGAAAGAACCTCAACTTTAATAGTGCTGAGCATAAGTAGAAATGGTATTTAACCGGTCAGATGTACAATTTCAGGGTTTTGCTTCTCTTTTGAATTGGTACTTGAGTGATCTAAATCATTTTTAGATGATCAGAGACACACATTCTCAGACTAGTGAAAATATGCATTCTGTTTCACATTACTATGGTTTTGTTCTAACTAAAAGTGGTCTGAATTTTGTTTTTTGTGTGTGTACAAGAACTGGGGTATAGGCCAGAAATGTAGGGGGTAGGAGGATTCATCAGATTCAGAGTGGGAGAACAGAGCAGGCAGATTTAGGGTTTACTGAAATACACTGCTAAGGGGAACAACAGGCAATATGGGAGAGGTCAGCTGCGCCTTACGTGGTGTTAACTCCCTGACTGAACTCAGGCTGCAGTGGTGACAGCACTAAGATTTAAAATAAGGCAGTCACTGGAGACCCAAACATGGTCCCAATTCTAAACTGTTTTGATATATAGTCTCCACTGATTTAACTTATATTAAGTTAATTGTTTAGTAACTTAGAGTACATATTACAATCAATTCACTCAAGACCATGCTGGAGTATTATATTGTGATGGATTAGAAATTCTGATTTCAAAAATTTTAAATATGAAAATTTTCAGGATCAGATCTTTAGGATCTTGAGCTCTGTAGATTAATAGTTTATTCTTTGTTTCCTGATGCAAACCTAGAAATGTTTGTGAAAAAAGCTCAAGCTGTGAGACATTCTCTCACTGGGAAGACTGGTGCCCATTTATCCAGGTGAGGGAAGTCATAGATTATTTTTTCATAAGATGAATGTCAACCCTGCCTTCCACATGACTGATTTTTAGTATGTTTGGATCTATCCTTACTTGACAATAAAAATAGTAAAAATATTACAGCAGTTTCCTTTTACTGAAGGCCTACTAGGCAACTAAGCAAAATGTTAAGCACTTCCTACACTTTATAGCTTACTTCTGACAAGTTTATGCTGGTGGCGTTTATTCTTCCTGTTTGTGGATAAGGAAACTTTAAGCTAAGAGAGATAACAACATATGTATTCTAATGTCTTACTAAGATTATAACACAAACTGCCAAATTCTTATTTAAAATATATAAACACATCCATATGTACTTATTTAAGTATATACAACTGTATATAGCTGTATATAGTTAATTTCTTTCTTTATATCAATGTTCCCTAAGGTAAGTTTGGTTAACACACTTGGCTCTCACTATTGTTTTTCCTTCATCTATACTGTGGTATTATACCTCTGGCTCATACTAAGGGGCAATTTTAATCTATATTAACACTATTACTTTTATTATTGGAATAGTGAAATGAACTTCATATATTGTATCTCTTTAGAGTACAAAATTTGAGATCCTAAAGAAGAAGTGCGTCTCAAACAGCAAGGCCAGAAACGTTTTGCTTTTTATCCATATCAATGGGAAATTTGAAACTGTAACACTTATTTTCTATAAGAAGCTCTGAGTCAATATCAGCCTATTATTCTTCTATTAACTTCCTTATACTAGAGCTATTATTCAACACTGAAGTGAACTATCAGGATCAAAGTACAACATCAGTTTCCATATCTGTGTTGAAATCTGACTTCAATAGCTATAAGCATACGTATGTATGTGATTGTGTGTGTATTTGTATATATATACTATATAGAGTGACACAGAGAGAGAGAGCGCGCAATGAAATATTTTTTGGCAACTGATATGCAAATGCAACATAAAAACCAGGTTACAGTGGACTACTACTAGGAAATTTGCCCAAAAACTAGCTGCAACTATTATTTAGTACAGTATTTCAGATTAAGAAAATCATTTAAATTTACCCAAAATTTATCCATCAATAATTCACATTTTTATTTAGTCTCAAGCAATTCTAATAATACTTACAGAAATTGGCTTAACAAATAAATGCACTTGTTCAGGGTTTAGACCTATTTCATGTTTTAAATAACCACTGTAATCAAGCCTCAGTTATTTATTTCCTTTCTCAATAGCTCATCTCAATAATTCTTTGTTCTAATAAAATCATAGTTTTAAAAGAAATTATTACATTAAAAGTTTTAAAACACATTTCAGCACATACTTTATTTTTATATTACTCTAGGGGAGCAATGCTGCTCATTTTACAGAATGAGAACCTTAGTAAGTCCCTAACAAAGTTCAAATTTCTCAAGACAACATGTGCTGATGGAACCAGAACTTTAAGATTCATCTTTCTTTCCAGACTTATTGGAACAAAGGCAGAACATGAACTATTATGATATGTTTTCAACCTTTATTAGCAGTTTTCTAAAAACTAATGACTAGACAAGAACAAAGAACTCTGTCAGACAAAATAGATTCTGACCTTACTGGTGAATGATAGGAACTAGTAATGAAAGCTTTTATCTCCTGGATCATAAATATCCAAAAGCAAAAATATGTCTGATTTAATTCAGTTCAATGAGTTTAATAGATGATTTAATGAAAATGAAGTCAGCTTTATCCATCTGTTTTTTGAAGGGAGAATAAAAGGGTATAAATTTGGAGCCTGACTGTGCTACTACTATATTCATAAATTCATTGTATACAGCATCCAGTCTTTGGAAGACCTTCAATTCACACAAAGGTTGATTATTTTCAGAACACTGGTAATAACAGTGATACTCACTGACTCAAACCCCACTGTTAGCTGGCTATGGAGTCAGCAGTATACCTGAGCATTAATCTGGGAGATCATACAGCTTTTGAAGTTTTTTATAGATAAGGAAGTTTTAAGTCACATTCAGTTCCAAATTTTCAATATATGTGCTTCCCAGTTTCAGACTTTCAAGTGATTAAATTATACCAATCTGTATTTTATGTTTCTCAAAAATTTGCCTCTCCAGTATACTAATATACTTTATATTCAAGGTAGTGGAACTAAAGTGAGGTATCTTCAATAACATTACATTTGTGCACACTACTTTCTGCTACTTCATTTGATAAATAATTGATCAAGAAATTATATGGAAAGTATGACATAAAATAACTAAGGTAACACAGTGCAATTAGAATAAGATATTTACACCTTAAATTAAAACTATGAAGTCTTTTGTGCTTTTTGGAAGTAAAGCAACATTTTATTCACATTTATTTATTTGGTTGTATTGTTTTTGATACTTGAAAAGTATACAATATTTACATTCATCAGATGAAATAAGATGAAGGAAAATCATGACTTAAAAAAAGACAATGTGTTTTTCTAGAAGAGTTTTGTGTTCTTACCTGAGGCTGCTGTGGCATTTGTAGGGGTTGAAGCAGCTATTGGAATCCTCGCATGCGGAGGAATAAGGGCGGTAGCTAGAGGTGGATTACTTGACAGTTCTAGAGAAACAGTTAAGACATATGTTAGAGTTTACCTCTTTTTTGGGCAGGAGTATATGTAACATTATTTTATGTTAACAATAAATAGAAGACAGTGCTTAAAGACACTGGCTTAATAGGAAAAAAAAAACATTAATACACATTAGAAAATCAAAGAGTGTAGTAACCAATTTACAGAGAAAGCCCACAGAAACATTCTGATACATAACAAAACTACTATCTGGTAAAATGAAGGTATGTTTGACCCTCCCTGGTGGCACAGAGGGTTAATGCACCACACTAGGAAGCTAAAGCCACTTCAGCGTGAGTTCTATCCCAGCCCTGGAGGTAATCCACATGGCATGGCAGACCTCTCCTGACACACCCGCTGCTCCCTTCGGTAGTGTGCTTCGTCAGTCTACCTGTCTGTCCCCTACTCTGTCTCTGGTAAATCCTCTCACAGCCCCTGCACTGCTGGCCTGTACCCCAGTTCCGTATGCATCAATATATAAATCTTTAAAAAATAATATTAAAAAAATTAAAATTAGGGTATGTTTGAGAATAGAAGACATCTTGGAGAAAACTACTGGCCAGAAGTTTGAAAGTAAGTGTAGTAGTAAATTTCTACATTTTGTTAACTTAAACATTAGGTTTCCCCATACTATTCTGACAGTATTATAGAATACAGAAATTGAGGATGAAGGTATCATAGAAAAAAAATATTGTAGTCGGTGTGTATATGCATATACAAACTGCACGCACAGACCAACCTACCCAAATGTTTGAGTCAATGGCTGACATGTAGTCGGACTGCAGGAGAGGTAGTGAGGTTGTAAAGCTAACCTGGTGTTAGCTTTAGGTAATATGAAATGTTTCCTCCTTTGCCTGGGATAAACCTAGTTTATTCTTGATATTCCGGCATTTAACCAATGAGTGTTTATTTTCACCCTCTAAGTATCACAATTTGAAAGAATAATTGTATGTCACTATTAGCTACAGGAAGATACAATCCTCTGAGTTATAGCATATGTTTAAAAGTTTAGAATAAACTAGTTAGGATATAGTTTTATAAATTAAACAGAATTCATGTAACATGACATTAGCCATTTTAAAGTGAGTAATGTACATTCACAATGTTGTACAAGTATCTAATTACAAAACATTTTCATCACCTCTAAAGGAAATCTAATTTAAGCAGTCACTCCTCATTTGTCCTTCCAGCTCCTAGGTTAAGTGAAACATGTTTTTACTGCTGTAGCTTACAAAGTATTTTTTGATACAAAGTTCTTGACAATATTGATTTATTGAAGTTGGTACCTAAATACCTAAATTTTGCACTAAATTAAATACTAAATGACATCACATTCTGGCAAAAAGAAACAAGTTGATAAGAGATTTATGAAAAAAAAAAAGAATGAAAGGAAAAGCTTAAAAGAAAGGCAATGTTCTTTATTACCTATTCCCCTTAAATGAGATTTATAGGGAAACTCATCAAATAATAGTCTTAGTTGGAAAACCACTGGCTTAATGATCAGGTAAGAAAAGATGTTTTTTCTCATAATCAGCTGTAGTGGCTGTTTTGGTTCCCAGTGATCAACAGAAAAATCCTATGCTGTTTTTTAAGTTAGATCAACTTTAATTCACAATCTTAAAACAAGGAAAAGCCAAGAGAAGTCCAAGTAATTGCCATGTCTTTTCTGGTTCTGGGAATAAAAATGCACGTAGGATACAGTAGTAATTACCTCATTAACATAAATATCAAGTAGATAACATCTCAGTTTAGATTAAAAAACCTACTTAAATCAAAAGGCTTTTTAAAAATCCATCTACCTACTTACACATACACCTATCCACCTAATAATACTGAGAATGAAACAGAATTTTAAATCTTAGGATTGAGAGGAAAAAAGGTAACTGTTGATCACCAGAAATAGAAAATAGGACAAACTGGCAAGAAAGGTATTCAATCTATTCAGGAGTGGGGAACTTTTAAATTAAAAGAAAGGAAAAAGATAACCAGCTATTTTAATAAGACATGTTAACAAAGCTACTTTAAGACAATCTTTAGAATAAACTGAGTATCTGTGGTCACTTACAATTTATTCTATTCTTTTCCTCCCATTCATTTAGTTTCTTTCTCTCTATGTAACTGCACACTTGGTTGGAGAACCATGGTGTTTCTGTGCCTTATTCTAAGTGTCTGTGTGTGAGGGGGATTAGGGAGAAGAAGGGGAGAGGCTCCACACACAGATGCAGGACTTGGACTTCAAGAAAGCAATCCTCTTTTCCCTGTAGGTATTACAGTCAGTCATTTTACCATTGAGTAGGAAGAGGGTATTAATTAAAGGAAAGTAGGGAGGAAATCAAGGAAATAAGTAAATATAGGACAAATGAGGGGGTTCTTGGAGGCTTTACAATATCCAAAGACAAAGATGAGTAAGAAAAGTCTACAAAACAAGTTAAAAAGACAAGGTTGCTAACGAGAGGCCTTGGATGGGGGAGATGGGTTTTTGAATTAAACATCCTAAAGCTAGGCAGCCACTTATAGGTTCTACATATCCCTTTAACCATATGACACCCCATTATCCTCCTTTTTCTTCCTTAATTGAAGGCACTCCTTAAGTCCCTTGTTTTCTACTGATTGGTTTTCTCTATTTCAGAAGGCTTGTTAACTGTCACGGCTTTTGCCTCTGTGAATGAGGATGTTTCCTGTACTCTTGTATAATCCCATTCTCTACACAAGTCTGCCCTTTTTGTGGGGACAGATTATGACTACTTCTTCAGAGCTCTCATAACTAGTCAAAACTGGCTGTGACTGATTTTTGCTCACAACAATCACAAATCACTCCCAATCTTCCTGTCTATCCATGTTAATGTGTAGTAAGGAAATTGAAGCAAAATGTGTGGACACAAACCAAGGTGAAAGAATGCATAAAAGGATGGCAGATTGGAGGACAGTTAACAGCAAGGTGATAAATAAATTTCAGGATCAGGAAGTGTATGTATGCACTTAGAGACTGAAAATGAAAAGTAGGCTAACAGCTCGCCTGCCCACCTGTGACTATCCATGTACCCTTTCCCCCCCTCCTTTTCCTAATACGCCTGTCATTTTAAAATGTAGAAAAAAAAAGACAAGTAAGCTAATATTTATTCAATATATGTGTTAGACTTGAGAATTGGCAGATAATACATAGATGTGGTTCAAAAAACATGGCAAGGCATTCTAGAAGATTTCAGAAAAGTAAATGCATGATAAAACAATTGCAGATACTATAAAGCAACACATCAAAACATGAAATAGTAATTTAATCAGAAAACATTAAAAATGTTTTGATGGTACATGAATCACTATGTGTTCTATAACCAAACATTTTAATGTACAATTTAGATATCAATAAACCATGATAGATCTCAATCAACAAAAAGGTTGATGAAATTCATTTAATAAAATCTTGCTGCATTATTTATACTAGGTACTACCAATACAAAATTTCCCCAAAAAGACACACTTAATAAACTCAGTCATACCAAATGACTAATAAAACAACCTTTTAAAATATTAAAACAAAATAAACCTGACATCTAGTTGGCAAAACTTTAAGTTTCATTTAACCTAAATTTTCTATTCTTCCATATATAACATTGTGGTGCACGTCAATCTCACACATTACTGAATTCTAATTCGAATTTTGGATGTATTGTTTCAGGTAACAAGTAAATGCCATCATAACTGTTTTTCTCCTCTCATAACAATCCCTGACCAAGTTCCAAATACTGACTACATGTTCAATACTCTTTTAGAAAATTAAACAAATGCTAATTAGAAGATTAAACATTAAACAAATTACAAGGCTGTCTTTTATACTTCACAATATTGGTGAAATTACTTATATGTGAGGACAATCTGACATCTGCACAAATCTATAACTACTTTGCCTGGAAGGAGGGAGCATCTCAATATTTTATTTTTTTTATATTTATTTATTCATTCTTGCATGCACGCATAGAAGAACTTGTGTGTAGGAAAGAGGTGCAGGGAGTGAGAGGATTCACCAAAGACAGAGACGGGAGCAGAGCAGGCAGGTGTACTGAAATACACCACTATAGTAATAGGGTTTGGACAGGAGCACAGTCTGCTGTGCCATATGTGGGTTAGTGGCCTGGCCTAGGTCAAATTTTGCTTGCAACCAGCAGTGACAGTGCTGAGATTTAAACCATATGCCACCAGGGAGAAGTCTATAGCAGGGATATATTTTAGGAGTTATCTAGCCAAAATGTGAGTATTTAAAAGTTCTAGTGATTAAAAAGAATATGTTTTAGTAGCCTGAAATTCTTAGCATCAGAACTTCATTCTTGATGAAGTGTAATAAATGTGGCATTACTATGAGTTCTTTTGTCCACCTGAAAACAGCCCTTGGGGGCTTTTTAAAATAATGCTAATAGTTTGCATTCTGGGAAAATCAGACATGGTCTGTTTTTTTTTTCTTTCTTCATCCACTTATACCATGATTTTCTGAATACCACTCTACTGTGTTCTGGTTTTAGCTCTATTCACTGCTTTCTGTCTTTCTAGAGTCTATTCATTTTTTTATAATCAGAAAAATTTTGATACTGGAAGTGTCCTTGAATATAGTATAACCACTTCATATTTTTATATATAAAAATGGAGTGATAGTGTCTTGGTTAAAGTTTATAGCTAGTACACTTAATTCCTTTCATAGACAATTATTACAAATCTTTATTGTCCTAGTTATGTATCTGGTCTTGGAAGTGTACCTGTGCCAATTACACACAGAATTTTAAATCAAACTATTAGTTTTTGGCTGTTTCTATATACATCCTTTGTAGCAGTATCACCAAAGCAGCAGAGTGAACCAAAGAACTTCAGTGAAAATACTAATCTCACAAATAATTGATAACTCAGGTCCTAAAATGATGAAATGAAAGTTAAAATAGTACTGCCACTAATACTCTAGTTATTGCAACTAAAATTTTGGAGAAAGGCAGGTGTGGTATAGGTACAGGTAGTTTGGGAGACCAAAAAAAAAACAACTTTATCTGCTTTATCTGGCCAAGTTTGAGTATGAACTGTGTATTAAATAATATAAGGGCCTCACCATTCATCTTATTAAATAGTTATGTAGAAAATGATCTTTATTTATTAGAGATATTATTACTAAACTATTCAGGATTGAGGTGTCCCAGTGTCTGATATGCTGGCAAGAAACAATAATATTAAACAAACAATACCCTTAAGTCTCTTAAAGAGTCTGATGGATACTACAAATAAAGATGTATTTTGTATTTGAGCTTTTAAAGTAAATAAACTATACTACCTGATCCTTTGATAAATGTAAACAGTTTTACCTCTCATGCCTAATAAAATGGACTCCTCAAGTCCACTGTCTTACACAGCCATTTTATAGGATTTTTTTAATCCATTATGTGTTTCCTCATATCCAAGTACTCCTGCATGTATTATTGGCTATTTTAACTTCCATCTCATCAATTTACCATCCTGATCTACCCAGTAGGCCACCATTCCTCATCTCTCCACATAGCTACCATTCTTTCAGTTAACCCAGCTAAGCAGTAGACTCTGCAAACTAAATCACACTAATGCAAAAAGACTGATAACCTTTAGTCATTCCTGTCCAATCCCCATTCTGCCTTATGCCCTCCAGGAAATAAGGTTTGGCAAAATAATTTTACCTGGTAAAATTCCATATAAATTTGAGTAGAAAGTTGGGACCAGAGATGTACATGATGGGATTATTTGGAAATTTACCTTTAAAGATACAAAGTAACTTGTTTACCAAATCTTTCCAGACTTAAAATAGACAAAAAAAAAATTAGTGAATTAAAAAAATCAATCCTTGTTGGGATTTTCTGATTCCACGTGTTGCCTAGGATGTGATTCAGTTATGTCCTAACTCTTGAGAGTCAATGACTGAAGGAAAGAGAGAGAAGGGGCTATATCAAAGGTCTGTTCTGGTTACCAATGCCTGGATATAGACAACAATGCCAGTCAGGGGGGTGTTCGAATACTGAAGCTCCAATGCCAGAAAAATAGGAGGTTTGATATTCTCCTGAGTTACAGAAGCAGGCGCTCAGAAGGTATCTCAATGTTTCTGTCCTATATCTGTGCATCTCTCTTCTCCCTCTAGCTGATGAAAGAAATATTTGTTTTAATTATATAAAAGTAATACTAATTATCATTTATGATTAATTATTCATAGTAATAAACAACAGATTGTAGTTTGTCCTGTTTTAAGCTTTACTTTTATGTAACACTGTAACATGACAGAATTACTTAATCTTCATAGTTTTTTCTTATGGTGGGTTTATCTTAATAATTAAAACAACTACAGGGAACATCAAAAATGCCAAAAAATTTTGGAATGTCAAACAAATGCTGGTTGTATGAATTAATAAATACCATGTCCCTATTTAGAAATATTGTTCAAAGAGTAAAAAGTAAAACTTAAATGTACTGTGGTAACATACATCTGACAGGATGTGAACTTACAGTTCTGAAACTTGTGCTGTAAACCAACATTGGCTCAATAAAATTAACAACAAAATAAAAAATACTGTTCAAGTATAACAGTGATCTAGATAGCTGTTAACAGTGCATTTTAACACTTGAAAAAGGCTTTATCTTAAAATAATGGCATTTTGAATTTAATACTTAGTTTTATCCTAACAACTTCAGGAGTTCCATTAGTTGGTTCTATTTAAGGTATGAAAACTACACATAAACCAAAAATCCTTACTGTATTTTCAAGAATTTAAAACATTTTCATTTTTATACACCTTATGAATATAATTTACTAGCGAATAGACAGCATTTATAAGTTTCTGATATATTACCTTATGTTATTTATCATTTCATGCCTACTGATTGTTGATTAGAGAAAAAAAGACAGTAAGTATTGGTGAAGCTATGGACAAACTGAAACCCCTGTACACTGCTGACAGCAATGTATAATGTGCATGTCATTGTGGAAAATACTAGGCAGTTAAGTATAGAATTATGACTCAACACTTGAAATAACAGAAAATATTAATACCCAAAAGAGTAGAAAAAAAATCAAGCACCAATACGTGTCACCACAGGTCATAAAAGCACTATTTACAATAGCCAAAAATGGATTTTAAAAAAGCAATATACCCATTATTATAGAATGAACGCTCGTGTTGCCCCCCTCTAAAATCTGTATGATGAAGCTTTCACTTCAATGAAGCTGTATCTGAAGTGGGGCCTTTGGAAGGTAATTAAGTCATGAGGGTACACAAGATGCCATCTCTCTTCTCTTCACTATGTGAGGCTACAGTAAGAAGGGAGTGATCTGCAAACCAGTGTATCACTGGATACACTGAAATGTGTTCCTTGAAATTCCCAGCCTCTAGATCTATGAAAAAACAAACACTTGCTATTTAAGCCATTCATTCTACAGTATTTTTTAACAGCAGCCCAGTCTGATTAAAACACATAATATAGATTATTATTCAGTCATAGAAAGAAAGTACTGATCCATGAGATAACCTGAATGACTTTGAAAACATGATGCTAAGTGAAAGAGGACAACTACAAAAGGCCATACTATAAGATTCCATTCATATGAAACATTCAAAATAGGTAATAATCCATAAAGACAGAAAGCAAAATAGTGGTTGCCAGGGGCCAGAGAAGGAGGTAGTGGGGACTGACAGCTGAAAGTGTAAGTTTCCTTTAGGATCAATAAAAAGATTTTGGAACCTGATAGTGCTAGTAGTTGTACACTTAATATACTGAATTGTTCACTTCAAAATGGTTCATCTTAACAAAACAAAGAGAAAAACTAAGTCAAATTAAACCCTTGAAATATGACTGTAGAACTGAAGCTACTAGATGGGAAGAGTGAGGAAAGGGAAGTAAAGGGGGAGGGCCACATGGAATCTGGTGGAAGATTATGGGCCCTAAAGAGTTAAACCTATACATCCTAAATTTCATACAATGTTGCAAACCATTGCTATTTCAATAAAATCATTATTACTTAAAAATGGTTCATCTTATGTGAATTTTGTTTTATTATTTAGAAATTCATAACAACAGACAACAGTTTTTGAATTTCATTTTCTCTGGTAATAATAAAAATTATCCAATCACTAAAAAATAAAATTACTTCAAAAATGGTTCATGTGAACCATGAAACTGACACCTTCAGTGTACACTCAAATACATATTCACTATTGAATATGCACAAGTATATCTGAACACACAAATACTTTCTAAAATGTATACACTGTAAATACCATATCCTTTCTGGATTTCTACCAAGCTGTTGACTTGACAAGGGACTTTCTTGATTTATATATTTTTGTGACACTAAGTCCTCAAAGAAGATACTGTCAAATTAACTCTAATCAATACTAGTCTGGGAAACTTTAAGATCAGATCACCTGACAGAAGAGATTTAAAAAAAAAAAATGGTCAAAGTACTTAATATTAAGTTAGTCTTACTGCCTAGTTTTCACAGCAGTAAGCCAGGCATCACTGTATACAAAAGCCTTTTAGAGATCACTAATTTTAAAAAGCAATCTAATAAATAATTATATCAGACAGATAATAAACATATACCTATGTATAACAGTAAAACACACATGTAAAGAGATACGCTGTTCCCAATAGTGGCCCAATAGTGTTTTGAATCCAAATTTTAGTTGCTGCAACCTACAAAATCATGATAGTCCCAAAATAGCTTTAGTGATTTACAAAGGTATACACGTAAAATATGTGTATAAGCAGTTTAAATTGTTGCTTTATGTGAGATGTAAGAAAAGTAAAACTTCTAAATTAAAGTTATAAAGTAATTTTAACTACATTTGAGTTAATCAAAATCCCTTCATGGAAAATCACAGGATCAAGTTGTATTTCAAGGATCATTAATAAAGATGTTAGAAAAAGACTGAAAACAGCTACACCATAAAATGCTAGAGTGGTATTTTGATATTTTGAGAAGTGATTGAATTGGTATAGTGATTTTAATTTTCTCTGTATTTTCAACATTTACTTCAACCTCTATGTATCCTCCTTTAAAAGTAAAGCAGTAAGCATTAAAAATTATGTTTTCTCAAAAGGCCTAAAACTTGTATGACATGAAATCATAGACTACTGCAGAAGAGGCAAAGACCTTCCAACAAATGAGAGTAATTTTATCTACAACGAGACATCATCCAGATATTTCCTGAACATTTCCAGGTACAAACATCAGTATGTTGAAAACAACCTGTTACACTGTTAAAAAAGCAAAAATTCTTTATTGATTCATCTCTATGCGTGCCAGAGGCTTCATGTCTTCATAGTAACCTTAAATGTGTCCTGTTACCTAACTTTCTCCTACTATCTTAAACATTCTAGACTGGAAAAGGATTCTATGTCTATCCCTTTCTTTATAAGATAGTCTCAGAAGTAGTTTTATATGGTTTATGGGATGGACTCCTGTTCTCCCCATTTGCAAAATTATCTGAATTTACACAATTTATTTCCAAGTTTTAGAAACTTGATATAAATCCTTGGAAAGCAAGGAATGCTTATTCTAAGTTTCAGATATAAAACTCAAAGCTAAATTACAATCAGTTTCATTAGTAATAAGCCATACTCAATAAATGTCTTTAATGTCTAATGTGCCAATATTTATTAAAATTATAGACACTATGCCTAATAGAACTATTTTATTTGCTCCTGTTTTGTTAAAATCATATAATTAGTCAGAAAGGATGCTTCCTACTGCATAGATATGTAAGCCCACATTTGCCTCCACAGATTTTAGTTAATATTGAATGTCACTTTACGCCTGTATGTAGTTTTTCCAGAAAGTAAGAGAGCTGAATTTGGAATTACCTTGAGTGGTGAAATTGAAGAGTGCAGGTGTGTCTCGCCCATTAGGTAGTTTGACGTTTGGGTCCCGTAATTCATCAAAAAATGAATGTGCACAAGCTTCCAGTGGTGTCAATCGGGCAGTTGGTGTATATTCCAGGAGACGGCTACACAGTGCAATTGCTTCTGGTGGAGTTCGGGGTCTGAAGACCTGCAGTATAAAAAAGGAAAAGAATAATCAATGTCTTATTGTAAGACTCTTAGTGAAGTATCTTGAGTACTCAGTTAATTCCCACCATGTACAAAAACATGGTTGCATATGGGAAAGGAGCCTTCTAAAATGAAAAACGTTAACTGCACATGATTCACTACACTGGGGAGAACTACTAATTAAAGACTACAAGGAAAAAACACAAAGAAAAAATAGGGGAGCTGGGATTGTGGGGAGAATCCACATATACTAATCATAAAGCAGTATGATTACATGAAAAGGCTGGATTCTGAAGGTCACAATTAAAATTTCAAAAAAATTAAGGTTTGACTGCTGTGGCAATCAAATGTTGCCTCTTTTTTTGTGATTTGTACAGAACAATTGCTAATAATGGCACTGTTCAAATTACCACCAATATCTTTTTAAAAAGAAAGAAAGCTATTTCATCTAGGTCTATAACTGTTAGTGATTTAGAAATTCTATAATACCCATAATTTGACAAGATGTCCAAAACTGCTTTTCTCAAGTAGCTGTTATCTTGAACTTGGCAAATTACCTTTATCTGAATGGACATTCTAGACTTTTAATCAGGAGAAAGAATTGTATTTTCATTAGGAGCCATTAGCTCAGAGAAAAACTCAACTGAAGGTTATATTTAAGTAAAACACTAATTTATTTAAAGTGATAGAAATTTTGATACACATCTACATCTTAAAACTCCTAGTCAATACACAGACTTATGAAAATATTATTTTGTCCTAAGTTATGAACAGTTACAAAATTAGAGCAGAAGGGGGGAATAGAAATTATGTTAGTAGATGGATAGAAAGTCTGTGACAATTTAAAATGAAACATATTCTTTGACAGGAATAACTCAGATTCAAATAGAAGGTACAGAAGTGTAATACATACACATAAAGAAAAGCACACATGCACAAATGGACAGGAAAATAGACCCTTAAGTGAAGAAAGGACACACAGATTGTGACAAAGCATGGAAGAGAGCCTAAGAGGCTAAGGTTTCCTAATAGGAGTGGTTCATGTAACATCTGGTTATTCATTTTGGCCAAATTTAGGAAAACTAGTTACCATTATAGAACTTACTACATTTTAAGAGACTGTAAGAGTATTTTCTACAGTAAGTACTTTCTATACTTTTTTGCTTTTATATTTATGTAAAGTTTATTATTAGGTATTATTAGGTAATTGAGATATTAGTTAAGTAGGATCTTAAAATCATCTGTAAGGAAAAAAACAACAACACTGCTTTTGAATAACCTGACTTTCCTCAAGTCAAAGAAACTTTTAAGGTATTATGTTATTTGACAGGACACTTTCTTCTCTATTGTTCCCCAGTAAGGTCCATAATCAAACTCAAAATGTTTAAAAAAAAAAAAAGGTGGAAAAATGAAAGAACAAAAGTTTTTTAAAGTTTAAGCATTAGTGACATTCTATCTTGTAGGGAAAGTTCATTTATATAACAACACATGGTTTTATTTTGTTAGTGTGATCAACATGCACCAATATGGGAACACATTCAGTAGAAAAGAAAATACCAACAAAAGTAGAAATAAATATCTCCTGACAACATTCAAGTGTAGGGTAGCTGCATAGTGGGTATATATTTAAAATTGAAAATGTTCATATTAATGAAGACTTCGTATTATAGCTATTAGTAAACCAGTATTGTAAGTTTATATTTGATTATTTAAAAAACAGCATTCACATCTTTTTGGTATCTTACTGCCTATAGGTTGGTACTAAGGTACTAAGGCACATATTAACCTATGTTGCCAGGAGACCCTAATCCATATAATCAAAGAGTTAAAAACAATAAAGATTTTCAAAAACCTGTGTTAAAGACAATCTGCAGTTCAAGAAATTATCTGTTATTATTCTCAAACCTTTGAGAGATTCTAATAAGAAAAGTCTTGGGGTTTAGTAGTCTATAAAGATTACATAAAAATCACATGGAGTCAAAACCCATCATCTCCCAAAATTCAGATTTCTGACCATAATACAGGGTGTGCTTGCAGGCAAATTAAAAAAATTACAGCCCAAACTAGAAAACAACTCCCTAGATTATCTTTATGTTAAAGAAAAGGAAACCAGTAACTGAAATTTAGCTTTTAAGAAAGGATTTTCTGCTACGATTTCATTCCTTACTCATTTAATTAGCACTTAGAATCTTTGATTCTGTGGATCTTCATTAATATTCATTTTTTGCAAAAACAATAAGTTAAAAACTCCACAATTCTTAAGCTCTAATCTAGATATCGGTAAATCACTCAGGAAACTAACAATCTAAATATACCATAAACAAAGCCTATGCCATACAGTGTATGAAAACAGAATCAAGCTACCTACACTGTCTTTACTATTAATTCTAAGAATAACTGCTTAGCATTTCAAGGAAGTTTTTCCCTTCATTCGACAGATCAGCCCTGAAACTTTCGGGAGAAAAAAAAATTAAGTACATACCCGCACTCCTGAGGTGAAATGTCCTGTTCCTGACGAATCCTAAAGATGATAATGCAGTGAAATAATCCAAACAGGGGAAGTCAATCCAAAAGAGAATAGTCCAGCAAGGAAAAATATATCCAATGTTATAAGAAATCCATGGTGTGGGGGGGGGACATAGAAAATGTTTATACAGTTATAAACTTTAAACATCAGTCTCCACAGTAGCAAGTCCAAGTTTTAAAAATTATTTCACCACAGTGTATGCAAAAAATTGTTTGATTGCGCAATGGTGAGGCACAGTAAAGAAACATTTTAATTTTAGTTTATTATGTTCCAATGCCAGTGCGTTTATTAAAAAAATACAAAACCAAAAAAAGTTAAAATCAAAATGAAATCTATAAGTAAAATTCCCAAAGTAAAGTGTTTGGTCTTCTACGACCTGGAATCATAGTCCAGTGACATGGCTTGGAGGGGAGGTATTTGCCTGTTTTTAAAGATAGGAGTTCCCAATATGCTAATTTTTCTCTATTAATATATTCCAGTTACACAGTATAAACATTTTTTTTTGCTAAATTATTAGCAATGAGAGGAATGTAATAAATTTAACTTGTATTACTATAGATTTCAAGCCAAGTATTTTCAATTTATGTGAGCTAAAAAGGATCAGGCCACCGCGGATTATTCTCCATTTTGGATTGACTTTCCCTGCTAAAAGATATTAGCTGACATTCTCATTATCTTAGGATTCTTCAGGAAATTGACATATCACCTCAGGAGTGAGGGTATAAACTTACTTTTTCTATTGTGGGCTTTGCCCCCTCATATACCCTTGCACCCATTACTTAGGAAAAATAAATATAGAACGTTCTTTTTGGAAAAACTCACTGAAAAAAAATATCCTGTCTTTGACCACTACAAATTCAACACAATTCCATCTGAAAATATGCCCAATTCACCCACCAAAAGCTAAACAAAAATATATACAATAAGCAATACAACTAAGGGACAGTCACAGTTATAGGTGACATGCATAGTAATGTACACCAACACCTAGGCACAAAGGAGCCAAAATATGCCTGAGAGGTTGTAGGGTCTATTATGTCTAGGTATTGAGGACAAAAATTGGCAGAACTCACCAGTAGCTGTGAATTCCCTTGGCTATTCTAAGAGAATTTAACATTCTTTTAGGATAGTTTCCAGTGGGAGAATTAAATAATTTATAAAAATAAATAATCCGCGGATTACTTTTAGTCTGCAGACTAAAATTTAGTACACGGATTAAAATCCGGCCCATCAGGATAAAAATCTCTCATGAACTAAAACACAACCATGTGGACAAAAAATAGAAAAAACAGACTGAAAGAACTGAGAGCACAGAGTCAACCGGGCCAACTAACAATTAGTGCGCAGACTAAATATGGCCAGCCAAGTATGCAGCAAGGCCATGAAGAGCCCAAAACACCCCTTGTAAAAACTTTAAACAAAAGTAAATAAATAAAGCAACAGAATAAAGCAAAAATAATAATAATAAAAAATAAAATAAACAAAAGAAAAAAAAAAGCAAAGAGAAAGGAAAAATTGTAAAGAACCAAAACACTGACATGAACTTGTAAGTATTCAAATACTACCTCACCTGTGCAGCAACTCAATTCTTAAATTGAAACAAATTCTCATCACAAATACTAATCCATACAAGAAATTAATAGAAAAAAACTTTTTTTTAAGAAATAAAGTCTGTGGTATTGAGCAAATGCAAATGAGTCCTTAATGAAGAATTATTAAAAATAAATTTGCATTTGGATAACAAAAACAACAGAGGTAATATCCCCTTATAGATCCTAAAAAAGACCTTTGCCATCAAATATCAAATGACAACCTAGAGCTAACTGTTATGATTGAACCTTGCCATTTGAAATTACCATTTATAGTCATATGTCATATCCCACACCTATGGTTGATTATCACAGTATCAGTACTCAACAATTCCACTGTAATATACAGCTAACCAGAGCAATGTAAAAATGACTATGGGCAATAATTAACCAAAGAAACACAGAATAAAAGTGCCTGTTCTAAGCTACTTTGCTCTAATTTTCATTGTAATAAATGTACAACACAGACATCATTCTGTGGTCAAAATATACAAAATATACAAGCATCCAATGTTAAAAACTGATAAACCATGAACATTCATAAAAGGCAACCCTAATATTGACTCTCAAATAACCTATGAATCATCTAAAATTACTTGCAATCTCTAAATCTAAATACATGACTAAAACGAAGATAATGTCATGTATTAGTTTAATAGTTAATTATGCTAATTAATCAAATTAAGAAAAGAGTTTAAGCCTACCTAAGTGCTGAGATATTGTAAATAATTCTCAAGAAACATAATCACTTCCTTAGCCATGACATAGATAGTATTCAATAAATTTCAACTGCACTAAATAAAAACTTTACTGAGTTTTACTGAGCTCTACTACACATAAGACACATTATATATGTTTTGATATCAGCATAACTATGCAATATAATTTTTCCCTTTGATATCATCACTAAGATAGTATTATAGACTCACACAGATTATTTACTAAATATCTACGTATCCAATTTAATCTTTCATTGTTCTTAAGAGAGTTAATGTGTTCAGGTTGACGTTCCCAAGAATACAAGAATATTTTCTTTTTATCCACAGTTCCTCATTTTATGGGATGTCTTTTCAAGATACAGTAATTCCTTCCCCTATCTACACCCAAACAAATCCAAATCCTTCTTCCAACAGCACACTCATAATAGTGTTTTTATCACCCTTAGGGAGACTTCCTCTTTCCCCCTAATCTCACTGGAGACAAACTTGTAATACACTATGAGATGTGAAACACCTCTGAATACCTACAGCACATGATAAAGTACATGGAGATACACATACACACACACACACACACCATATTTTCAATATCTGCTTTAACAGAGTCAACTAGCAAGTTTTTCAAGGGACAAGGACTATATATTTACTTCTTTTGCATCCTTTATGGTATCTGGCATAGTATTAGTTATATAGGAGATAATGGGTTTTAAAGACAAATGGTATGTTAAAAGTAGATTTTCAATCTATCCTAACCAAATGATTTTGAAACTTACATCTTAGTATTTTTTAAAAATGATTATTCCACTATATATGGATTAACCATCCAAGGAGCTGGATTTCACTGTATATAATTTCCAACAAAGAGATAGGAATATAACCACTATAATAAAAAAATGAGGAAGCCTATACACAGGAAAATGGATGTTAGAAAATATGTCATTATTACAGCAATAAATAAAGATGTAGGAATAAAGTTCAGTTGAGACCACAAGTGATATATATATAAATATTAAATTCAGGGCAGAGGAGGTTGAATAATAATATAAAAACTGATTTACCTAAGCAACAGAACAAAACAAAGTGGAAATTTAAGTAGCCAACAGAAATTTCCAACTTTTTTTTTATGCTTTCTGGAATATATGCAAACAAAATGAGTTAAGGCAGAGAGATGAGAAAAAGTAGATAAAGTAAACCTGCAAAAACAAAAAACAACTTTGACAGCAGTCACCCCCGACCCCCTACTAGGCATTTTTTGATAATGTTAAAACTATAGCTGGAACAGATGAGTTTACCAAATTCTGAAAAACCTTGTGTTGAAAGTTTGGGAGAAATGTTAAATTTGGAAGATAATGTTTAAAAATAAATAAATAAATGAATGAATGAATAAAACAGTACAGCAAGATTTCCTTTAGTTTTAAGCACAAAGGATAATTAATTTACAGTCTAGTCTGATTCCTTTGATAGCTGAAATGATTGCATACTCAAATTTCTGCTTACTTTGTTGGCTAGTTGGAAATTGTAGTATCATTCATTTTGAAGTATGTAGAAAGTATTTTAAGAAATCACATACGTAAGGTCTGATTTTTGTGTACAATGCTTACTGAGATACCTAACTAGTGATTTGTAGTCTCACTTATCCTACAGACACGTAACTATTAACTAAACTATCCCAAATACCAAAAACCTAGTAATAATTTTGAGTTAATTGGTATCTACTTTATACTGAATAAAGACTCATTTATTATGAAAGATAAACTATGAACTGCTATAACACATTATGTTATGACTTCGTAGGTCCTTTAGGAGTTATGTGGTGAAATAATTATGGAGAAATAATTTTATTTCATGAAAGTGAGGTCTGAATAAAAGGTTAATACATGTAAACAAAGAAGAAGAACATTCTAAGTGTGGAAAAAAAGACACTAGCAAGGTAGAAATGAGTCTGGTTTCTGTGGGAAACCGTTAGGAGGACAGGTTCACTAGAGCAAGAATTTCAGCTTGGTCTCTTTAAAGTGAGCTACATGTAGGAAAATATGCACATATGTAGCTAGCATATTAAATAGCCCTATTCTAACTAAAAGAGATCAGGCCCTTGATATTCTAATCAACTTTGTTTCACTAACCAGTTATATCATTTATAAATTTCTTTACTTTAAAAGGATATACAGAAATATCTGTGTTATTTAACTGAGCCCACAGGATTATTACTAGGATAAAGGGGAAATACTTGTCCTGAAAGATTTTAAACAAAAGGTTGGCAGAAACCGGGCAAAAGGGAAGGCTAGGAAGGGCATATAGAAAACACAACATAACCTTATTAGAAGTCCTTAAACCTATTCTAACTATACCTAACTACCTACATACTGAACTCCTAAGTCTTTACATTCATTGCCTAACTATATGTTACCCCAATGACAAAGGAGCTGGAGAAACGGGGAAAGAGTGGGTCCTAAGGATGAGATGCCTCAGAGAATGTTAGGAGCAGAACAAGAATTAAATCTCTTGGTTTTTCTGGAAAAGAAAGATAGAAAAGATTAGTAACAGAGTGACTGTATAATTTGTCATCCAAACTAGAACATTTGTTTAAATAAAGGGATACAATTAATAACTATATTAATATGATCACCTTTGTATGTATACAGTGACATAGTTAACATAAATGCTGAAAATTTCCTAAAACAATGAGGTATCAGAGATGGATTTTAAAAAGGAGTGACAGTATCATGTGTGTGTTTAAGAAAACTGACATTGACAGCAAGAAGATTATGAAACTGAACATGGGAAATCAGGAGGTAGGAGACTGTTTTAACAATTCTGTGATATGATGATGACCTAAGTCAGGGTAGTGGGATAAAGAAGACAATCACAGGGTTCTATTAGAAGTAGAATCTTTTCATTTATTTAGCATTAATAAGAAATAATCCTTTAGATGCATATTTTGGCTGTATTTTCAAAAGAACCCATAGAAAAGACATTATCGCCAACTGTTATTTTACAAAAGAAAAACCTTGAGGCACAAAGAGTTAAGAGCAGTGTTTAAACTGGAACCCTACTTCATACTTTAAACAGTCATTTCACTGTCTTCTCCATTTACTAAACGCAGAATTTAAACTTCCTCTTTTCTTCTATCTCTTAGCTAATTTTCTAACACCTGATATACTTTTTGCATGACCTTCTTTTTACTTTCCACCTGCCTTTTATTCTTTGAATTGTACATTCATACACCAATGCAGAGATCTTTATCCTTCTTAAACCCACTCCCAGTAATGGTTTGTGTTTCAAACTATTAGCACCTATATCTTTTTTTACTTAAACCACAAGTACATTATCAATGAATTATGTTGTCCTAGCTATTAAGTTAGGGGCCAGTTACTGGATTTCTCTAAATTGTGAAGATTCCTGCTGTACACATTAGGATCATCTCATTGCCTTGTTTTAGTTTGCTATCTTTATTATACATCTGAATCCTCTCACCTCAGTGTTTGCATAGAAGACATTTCTCCCATGTTTTATTTTGACTGCCTCCTCTTCTGAGAACACCAGCTTGGAAGCTGGTGGTCCAATCCTGAAGGTGATAGCTGACGACAGTGCAGCCATGAAAACAAGGGATTTCACATGTCCACAGCTCTAAAGAGCATGTATGTGGGGTCTAACACAAGACTGCAATTAAAGCATAGCAGCTTTTGTTTCCAGACTCCTGTTTGCCTGGCCACCCAAAGACAATAAGCCCATCTCTTCAGAAAATAATATTGTTTATGTTGCAGAAAAGTCACTGGCTGCCTAACATTAAGAGAACAATTCTCAAGCTGGTGCCATTATCACATAATTAGGGTTCAGATATCTCAGTTCCCTCCAGAAATTTAAAGTTTGCATGTCTATTTAATAATAACCTATCTTTTAAAAATGAATAAACGGGGCCCTTCCTGGTGGCACAACGGGTTAAAAAGCACGGCACTACACAGCACTATAAAGCTGGCCACTGCTGCCTCAGCATGAGTTCGCTCTCTGCCCAAGGAGGTGACCCACATCGCACAGCAGACCTCTCTTGTCTGGTCCACTGCTCCCTTAGCAGTGTACTTGCTCAGTCTGCCTGTTCTGCTATCCACTTTGTCTCTGGTGAATCCTCTCACCACCCCTGCACCTCTGGCCTGTACCCCAGTTCTGTATGCACAAATAAATCTTTTTTAAAAAAGTCAATAAGCGGGCCCTCCCTGGTGGCGCAGCGGGTTAAAGCACAGCAATGAGAATCGAAAGCCGCTTCCGCATGAGTTTGATTCCCACCTGCCCAGGAGGTGACCACATGGCGAGGCAGACCTCTCCTGGCCCGCCCGCTGCTCCCCTCAGCAGTGTACTTCGTCGATCTGCCTGTTCTGCTCCCCGCTCTGTCTATGGTGAAGCCTCTCACCACCCCTGAGCCTCTGGCCTGTACCCCAGTTCTGTATGAATAAATAAATCTTTAAAAAAAAAAGTCAGTAAGTATATTCTGAATCACACAGATAATGAAGTAGTTCCACAGTTTCCTCTGACTGAATTTGGTTTTATATTTACAACCATGGTAATACCATACTAGTTGTGTGTTCTAATGAGAAACTAACAGAAGTGCACTTATCACATGATAAATGTATATTCCGAGTGAACCCAAATTGAGTCAAGGTAACCTACATAAAGAGTTCACATTGGCTTAACAGACAAAATCGGTGGGAAAACTGAGTATAGTACTGGAGATAGAAACCTAATAAACAAGTAAAAGGTTTTTATACAGATTATTCAAATTTGAAAAGCATTAGGCAAAATATAGAAGCATCAAGAATCATAAATGCAAAAGAAGTTTGCATAAAGCACACAAGTTTACCACAAACCTTCTGCTTCTAACTGTAATTGATCATTTTCCATATTCCATCCTGGTTAACACTTGAACTGAAGAGAGCTAACAAGGGGGGGGGGTGGGAGAAGCAGGGGCAAACTGGAATATATGAATATATGGAATATATGGCAATCTGTTTTTTTTAAAGATTTTATTTATTTATGCACACAAGAACTGAGGTACAGGCCAGAGATGCAGGGGGGCAGGGAGAGGATCCCCAGAGACAGAGTGGGGAACGGAACAGTGTTGGATTGACACTGCTGAGGAGAGCACTGGGCAGAACAGGAGAGACTGGCCAAGCCAAATGGGTCACCTACCTGGCTGGGGATCAAACTCATATTGCAGAGGCTGCAACAGCCTCACAGTGCTTTAACCCGTGAGCCACCAAGGAAGACCCTGGCAATGTTGATATAAATCATACATACAAGGAATGTTAAATAAAGAGTTTATGGCCCCAATTTCAGCATTATATTAGTTAAAAAATTTATATTGAGGTCAATATGTGATGTATACTTATATTACACTGAAAGAGCTTGAAAATGCACATTAAAGAAAACTGGAAATGCAAAACCCAGAAAATCACCTACACTCATCTCATCCATACTAATAGTGAGCACTCTGAAACATTTCCCTATATTTATTTACTACATAGAATTCACTTGTTTTAGTTGTTTATTTAACAAGGATGAAATCACCTATTATAGAAAACACCTATTATAAAAACTTTAACTTGGAATAATTTTAAAAATTCAAGTTGAAACTCAGTATTCAAATCCAAGTAAGTCACTTAGGAGTATCTGAGAGAACCTAGGTACCTTCTGAGCCAAATTCAAAAAGAATCTAAGGTACAATGATCAAGTAATGATTTATCTTAAACTAGTCAGAATTTATTATAAAATTTAAAGGAGAATAACACCTTGCATTCTTGGTCAATGAAAGCTACCATATATATTCCAGATGAATATACTACTGAGGTCTTTGACTCTAAATAAAAAATAATTAGTGACAAGATTTTCCAAATGGAAGAGAGGTAATGAGATTGTGAGAACTTGAAATAAAGTAACTGGAATCACAATATAGTAAGAGTGAGAAAGACACATGCATTGAGTCTGGTAAACGTATATTAGTTCACCTACAGTCCGAAATTACTTCATTTCATACGATAAGACATCTATAACCAAGTAAATGAACTTATCAATGTTCAAAACAAACACATTTTTAATTAAAGTATCACCTTGAAATGCATATCAAAAACTTGAACATATATAAGCCACAAAAATATATAATGAAATATAAATAAATGGGGGAGAAGAATGCACGACACATAAACAGACATTTAAAAGATTAAGCAGTTAACGCACACACACTTGTAAATTTATGACTTTAATCTTGGCTCTGTCACAAATCACCTATGAAAAATCACTTGGTCTCTTGGGCCAAAGGTCCTCATAAAATGAGGAAGCTAGCCATTCACTATAGTCATAAACTGTATTAAGATATTCTTATTTTTTTCCCTATGCGCAAGTTAAACAGAAATGCAAAAAATCTTTTAAAAATACCTTTTAAAGCATTTCAATTAAAGAATCAAAGGATTTAAAAGTCTTCTGGTAAATTAGTACTTTTGGTCTTAGAACTGGTTCCATCTAATGTTGAGGTTAAGATTTTGATAAGATAATATGTTAACATATCAATTATTTCCAATGTATACCCTAAGGTAAGATTCATATCTGCTTTTATTCCTGCTCCCAAAATAGCAAAAAGAAAGTAACCTAAAGTAGTAAAATAAACTATTACCTACAGTAAGATTTTTATATTAATAGTCTAAAAATAAAGAAAATATGTAAAATGTATGTTTTTATACACAAATGTGCTGTTGAGCCAATTAAAAACTCTATGTAAGGAAATTAACTTCTGAATTTTAAGTAGTCAAATTTACACATAGGATCCTCCACCTAATGAAATTCCTTATTTTAATAATTTAAGTGCACTGTCCTCCTCTACAAATAAAAGCCCAGGCTGGAAACTGCCTACAGGAAATCAATAGGGATGAAACTACATACAATCAATGAGTAGCTTAAGTAAAATTACCCGACAACTTTTACATGCAGAACTGATGCATACTTTGTAAGCAGGCAGTAAGTGATCAGCTTCAAAATAGCTTAGTTTTAAGAACAATGAGGAAACCCAGTTTTAGTTAGTTTTTAATGTACATTTTAAAAACTCATTTTGACTTACCTTAGTCCAAGGATGTGCCTTTATTTGAGGGAATTTGAATTCTGTGTAGTTTGGATTCATTTCTCTAATTTGCTCCCTTGTTGGTGTGCCCAGGACCTAAGAAAAGTAAGCAAATTTTTGCTAAAATTTTCTATTCACTTAAAAAATCTTGTATGTTTTAATATATTGGTTTCATTAGAAAAAGCAACACAAAGTTATAAAACATATAGCTTATTAAACAGAACAGACTTTGTTAAATACATTTAATATAACTGACTACTATCCATGCTATACTATTCTATACTGACTTTCATCTTAGTAGAGTTAAATCAGGATTGTCAAAAAAAAAAATTCAAGTAAAAACAAACCATCTTCATACTATATAGAAAAACAATCTATTGGTAATGATGGCACTTGAAATACGAATGTCTTTTATTCATTTAGTTTAGTAGAGCCAAAGATTTTTTTTTTTAATCTGTAAGTTAGTCAGGAGAATCTTACTGAAACAGGTTCATCAGTACTTTAATCACTGAATATTTAGTGAGTGTATGCTGTATACAAGGAACTGTGTGCTTGATACATATACTAAAAATGTAAGCGATTTCCCACTACAATAAATTTATGTATTTGTGTGTGGAAAAAAATGGTGTAATTACAAGATGGAAATAGAGCACTTTATTCCTATAGAGCTATAGTAGACGCCAGAAGAGGAAGTATATAGACCTGGCTGTATAAGCAAAATGACAGAAAGAAACATTAAAACAAACAAAAAAAGAGCACACTGAAGAGGGACAATGCATACTACTGTTATTTATGATTCTAGGGTCTGGATTAAAACAATTTTTTTTAAATAAAATATTAAACCATTGACAACTTGAGAATAGTTGCTTGGAGAAGTGAAATGTAATGATAAGCACCTTAAGTTTTGTGTCACAACTAGTGAATGATCAAGATAAAGTAAGAATTTCAAAATGTTTTTTGTTCATTCTAATTCTTTAGATTTCATAAAGCTTTCAGCATTCAATCAAATTTTAAATCTGTTTTTAAAAAAAAACTTCAGAAGACTTGGCCCTCCCTGGTGGCGCAGCAGGTTAAAGCACAACACTGAGAATCTTAAGCCGCTTCCACATGAGTTCGATTCCCGCCTGCCCTGGAGGTGACTACATGGCGCGGCAGATCTCTCCTGACCCGCCCGCTGCTCCCCTCAGCAGTGTACTTCGTCGATCTGCCTGTTCTGCTCCCCACTCTGTCTCTGGTAAAGCCTCTCACCACCCCTGAGCCTCTGGCCTGTACCCCAGTTCTGTATGCACAAATAAATAAATCTTTAAAAAAAAAAAAACAACTTCAGAAGACTCAGAAGACGTAAGAAAACAAAAAGGCCAATTACAGGCAAAAACATCTGCAGAATATATATTCTGCAAAGGACTTGTACCTAGAAAGTACAAAGAACTCTAATAATTAAGAAGATAATGCCAATAAAAATAGGCAAAAGAATGACCAAATACTAGACCATGAAAACAGAAGAAATGAGCATATAAAAAGATGCTCAACATCATTAATCATGAGAAAAATGTTAATTAAAACTGTAAATTATAACCTACAAACCAAGAAAGCTAAAATCAAAAGTGAAAAGACTATATACCAAGTCATGATGAAGGTATAGAGCAAATGAAATGTTCATTCATTGATAGTAGTATGTAAAATGGTATAGCATCTTAGAAAGTATTTTGGCAGTCTATAAAAAGTTAACCATATACTTTCCATACACCCATCAGTTCCACTTCCAAGTGTTTAGCCAAGAGGAATGAAGGCTTATATTCACATAAAGACTTATAACCAAATGTACATAAAATGTTTTTTCAAATGTCAAAAGTAGAAACAATTCAAATGTCTATCAGGTAAATAAATAAAAGCTAGTAGTAAAACCAGATAGTGGAATGCTACTTACTGGAAAAAGAACATGGAAATCTATGAATTATTATGCTGAGGAAAAGACGACTCAAAAGAGCAACTATTGTATATTGTCATTAACATGGAATTTTAGAAAATTTTCTGTTCATAGTGACAGAAATAAGATCCATGGATGTAAGGTGCTGATGGGGAGGTAGTAATAAAAAGAGGTTCCAGGAAACTACTTGGGGTTATGAATATTGTTCATTATCTTGACTTGACAATAATGGTATCTCCATGGGTGTATATAGCTATGTCAAAACTTGCTAAGTTATGGGCTTTTAATGTGTGTAGTTATTATATGTAAATAATGCCTATAATAAACTTTCAGAATTTGTTGAAATATTACAATACTCAGAATAACAAGATTTACAATGTCTCTGTGCCTACATAATGCACTTTTTTTTTTCTTGTTATAGTGAAAAGAGAATCCTCTCCTCGTATACCACCTACCCAGATACTATGATGTGGAGGAAGCAATGATAGATGCAGTGAAAGAAACAAAAAAGCTAGGACATTAGATGTAGTGCCTAAAGACATAACTGAATTGTTGCAATCTCATTATAAAACTTTAACAGATGAGGATCTTATAATAATGAATGAACAAAGAAAGTGGTTTCCTAAAAGGTAATCTACTTCTGGTGAAGATGCTGTGAACACTACTGAAATGACAATGGAGGATTTAGAATATTATATAAACTTAGTTAAGGCAGGGTTTGAGAGGAGTGACTGAATTTTTAAAGAAACTCTATCACGCACAAAATACTAAGAGCATTTCCTGCCATGAAGAAATCTTTCATAAAAAGAAAAAGCCAATCAGTGTAATAATCTTTATTATTGTCTTGTTTTGATATATTTCCAAAGGCAGCAATCAATTATCAATGCAAGATCCTCCATCAACAAAAAGAACTCACTGAAAGCTCAAATGATGGTGGTTAGCTTTTTCTAGCAATAAGCATTTTTTTTTTAAGTAAGTAGTCTAAATCCCAGGTCAAAGACAGTCCAAAAGGTGCTTGCTACAGCTAACCAAGGAGAGTTCCCTGTTGACCTTGTCAGGCCAATCATAATGAACTGTAATAATTTAAAATGACTAAATAGAGATAGCATATGTAAGTTTTTCTTTCAAAAATTACATCAGTGAAGTAAAGGAGAAAAAAAAAAGAAAAAAATCTGTTCACTGAGCAGCCAGTAGTAAAAGTTTTGTGCTAAGCATATTAATTCGCTTTTCTCACTTAAACTTTATGCTCTATCGCTCCATTTTACTTCTAAAGAAACTTAAGGTTACCTAAGGTAAACTCGCATCTCAAAGTTACAGTTTGCCAGGGGTAGACATTCAAATGCAAGTGCAGTTGATTCATTAAAATGGTCTACCCAATATTAATGGCAGAAACGAGAAAATTTTAAAAATTTTTCCTAAGTCTCACTAATATACCATAAAATGAAAGATGAACCTTCAAGTCATGCAAGGAATTTAAGAATTTGTAGTATCATTAAGGTTATAACGAAAAGCTTAAAAAAACAGACTTGAAAGTACTTCAGGATGGAAAGAGTTCTGCTAAGTTGACATTCTCTTATCTACACAAAGAAATAAAGAGCACAGAAAATGGTTATTATCTGGATCAAAGTATGACATTTTATACTTGCTTTTAAATTTCTTTAGAACAGTGCTTAAACCAAAACAGTTGTAATGTTGTAGATGTAAAATGTGCATACAGGAAAAGAAAAATGGAAAAATTACCTTCGAATTTCATACGTGAAGTGATATATTATTTGTAGACTACAATAAAGATGTCTATTTCCCAGAATAATCTCTAAATGCAACAAGGAGGAATAATTTTAAAAAGCTAACAGAAAATTAAAAAAAAAACTACTAATTTCCGTATGATGGCAGTAAAAGAGAACAAAGAAAAATGGCACTAGCAAAAGAACTCCACAAGAATGATTTCCTAAACTCAAACATATTGATAATTACACTGAATGTAAATAGTCAAATACTCCTATTAAAGTGAAAAAGTTGTCAGGATTAAAAATCATGTATTGATGAGAATGTAGAACAGTGAAACTCACATACATTGTTCATGTGAGTGAAGGAATAAAACTTTCTACTTTAGAAAACAGGTGGGCTATTTCTTATAAAGTTAACATAAACTTATTATAAAGCCAGCAATGTTAGCCATAGCTTTTTATTCAACAGAAATATAAGCATGTCTTCAAAAGCCGCTGTAAGCAAACATTCACTAGTAGCTTTAGTCATAACATCCATGAGATACAAACATATCAAATGTTCACCCACATAGGTGAATGTAAAAAAAATTGTGGTGTATTCATGTAACAGAGTATAATAGCAAAATACAGAAGAGGTATTACAATCAACAGCATAGCTGAATCTCAAAAACAGAAAAGATCAGATAAAAAATAAATGCACTATTATGATCCCATTCATATTAAATTCCAAAACAGGAAAAACTAATCTGTAGTGATAGAAAACAAACCAATGATCACCTAAGAAAAGAGATGGTACACTGACCACAAAAGGGCATAAACAGGATAATTAACTGTACTGCTCTGTGCATGACTACCCTGGTGAACCCAGTATTTGGCCAACTTAAGATTATCAAGAACATTACAGAACATTAGAAGGGGTGATGAGTTGTTCTAAATCTATAAGGATGGTGAATACAAATGTTGCTAAAACTCACTGAACTATATACTTAGAACAGGTACATTTTATTCTGTGTAAATTACATATTTATGAAGTTGATTTAAATAGTAATCAAGCCATTATGAAATTTGGGTTGACGTTACCATTCAAAACACTACCAGATGTTTATCCTTAGTTGCTATTTTAAGGCTAGCATTAGAGGTATCAAAGTCTGTCAAACCGTAAAATCAGAATTATTTTATAAATATACACACTTTTTAAGAGCAAAGATGATTTTAGAAGCAAAGGAATTTAAAAATGAAAAGGTAAGATATAACCAAGAAGCATTTGAAAAAAATTTTCCAGCTTCTCATGTCATTTACTCATTCAAAACATTTACTGAGTTCTTGTCCTTTAGGGTAAAAAGGCTTGTACATAAATCAACCATAATCAGCCAAGATCAGTACAGCAAGATCACATAATTAAGTGTGAGGTAAAAAATGCTACACTGCTCTAGAAGTAAAGA